GGACCAAAAACAAAAACAAAAACAAAATCAAAAAAAAAAAAAAAAAAAAAAACAATTCAAAAAAATCTAAAAAAAGGATATGTTATGGAGAAAAATAAAATAAACAACATTTGCCTGAGCATTACATCCAAATTCCTTACCAATTTTGAAATTAAAAAAAAATACAAAAAATGGAACTAATAATAAAAATAACTCTAGGCTACGAGCCGGGCCGCCCGGGTTCCGGGTGGCCAGCAGCCCGTGCAAGGACAAGGGAGGGTCCCAGCAAAAAAAAAAAAACTCCAAAAAATCCGAAAAATAAACTATGTTATGCAGAAAAATAAACTGAACAACTTTTGCCTCAGGGTCACATCGAAATTCTTTACCCAATTTAAAATATAAAATAAATTATTTATTTTTTTTATTTATTTTTTAAGCTTTTTGGCCCGGCCGGGCAAGTGACCCCGGGCCACTCTGGTAGCCTACAAAATATAAGAGAAAATAAAAGGAGAAAATAAAATTAGTGAGTGAGTGAGCACGTTTTTGACACCGCCATCTTTGGCGATTTTTCATTTTTTTTTGGCATATCCAAATGCCCTGAAAATTTACAGATGCGTACTTCACATAATACAAAACGCATCAAAAAAGTTTCAAAAAATAATAAAATTGTTTAGGCCCCACAATAAAGTTAAAAAAAAAAGTAAAAAGTTAAAAGAAACAAAATAGTGAGTGGGCGAGCACGTTTTGACACCACCATCTTTGGCGATTTTTACCTTTTGTTTGGCTTAGCCAAATGACTTCAAAATTTATAGGCATGTACCTCACATCATAGAGAACTCACAAAAAAAAATCAGGAAAAAAAACTTATTTTTAGGTCCCGAAATATTTTTTGGCGGGGGCCGAACGCCGTCGCGTTTGGACCCCGTACGGGACCCCGAACGCCCGTACGTACAGAGGTCGGCCCGGGGAGCTCCGTACATACGGGCTGGTGACCCTGTATATGCAGTGTAATCAGTGAGGGGATTCTACAGACTGTTGAGGGTTCAGCCTCCTGATGAGTCGGTGAAACTCCGACGAAACAGTTTGTCACAGCCCCTCGTTTGTTGTCCTCTTCTC